AAAAACGACTTTCCTGCAGTCAAGCAGTCAACACATACACAGTAACAGTTTTAAACATTATTTGTGATGAAATTCACATCTGTCATATATTTTTTTCTGATGATCAGTGCAGCAGTGCATAAACTGTATAGAGTGAACTTTTCTGTCTTTATAAAAAAAAAATCCTGCTGTTTTATTTATACATTTTAATATTCTTTTTACCAATATGACTTTTAAAAAATCAATGAATATAGTTTCCTGGTGTTTTGTTGTGGCTTTTAATACTCACACATACCATAGATTGCAAAATATATTTTTAAACAATATCATCAGTAACCCTATCTCTCCATATCAGTTTAATATCACTGTGAGCGTATATCAGCATCTGCGTGTGTGCATGCATGGTTATGCCCATTTGTGCATGTGTATATACACTGTGTATTTCTGAACTTGTGTCTGAGTGTGTGCAACTATGAGAACAGGCTTAATTTAGCAGGTGTGCTTTGACAGTTCTTGAATGAGCGCCAAGTCTGCTGTACGAAGGATAAGAGAGAGGAGGCGCTCAATGTGCATCTGTGTGGAGCTCGACTGTGACAGATGGGGACGGTTTAACTTATAGAGTTCTGTTAAGATCTGGAGGTTTTTCTGACGCTGTCTTTGCCAAACAGGTGTGTTTTTTAAAAACACCACAGAGAAAGAAGGTGAACAAGCCTCGACTGACTTATTTGTCTGGTGTTTCTACTGATAGAGGGAGGTTGCCACTGTATACTGTGTCTTTTTCTTTCTTCCTCATGTGGGTCCAAATTCGTTGTACTTACTCCTTTTGGAAGAGACATTACCCTAGAGTGTTCTCATTCATGCTGGCGCAATGTGGAAACAAATACAAACTCTAGTTGCATGTTGTCGAAGCTTACAACAGACACTAGTTAAGTGAGTCCTCAGTATTAAAAGATTAAAAAACTTCCAATTTATCTATACTATATCTTAATGTGCAGAAATAGCTTTTAGAACAATGTCATTTCTTCATATAGTCTTATTCTAGGGTACAAGATAATAGTTCCAAATGTTTCTGACATAATTCAAATGATCAAGAATTCATCAAGTGGGTTTGATTTTTTTAGGTAATAGGTTTCGACTGTTATAAAAGGTAAATCACCTTCACAGGTTTAGAAGCCAAAGTTAGTTTCAAGCTATTCCACTGTTGTGTTTTCTGAAGTTTCTACAGCCAGTAAATCTGTACAGGCCAAAAATCCAGCTATGAGAGAAGCAAAACCTTTTTTTAAATGTTGTATACAACACTGGAGTATCGTGTTGGCTCAAAGTGTTGTAAGGACGGCTGCAGAGTTGAAAAGTTCAGCCAGTTAGTGGTGGCCAGGTGTCTTGCAGGCAGGCAAGACACCTCACCATATGGCTGCTTCTCACCACCAGACGCCAGCCATCCCAGCCGCTGACTTTCACATGCTTTACTTTTGCTGTACAAGGTGAAAAGTTGCATCTTGTCTAAACCCTGACCAACATGCTGAAAGAATCTGTATGTGTTTATATTCATTAAGGAGAGAAACCTGTTCCATCAGCGTTAGGAAAACGCTGATGGTACTGGTATGACAATAAAACAATTAATGACCTGGCTAGAAAAAGAAAGACAGATTTGATGCATTTCCTCTGGATTTCTGATACACCAACAAAGTTGCAGATTATTTTGCTTCTCTCCTGCATGCTGATTGGAGTTTTAAAGAGGTAATGAAGTCCTGGTGTGTCCTCCTGCTGGGTTTGTATTTGGCGAGGGGTGCCTGTGTGTCGCTGATAGAGGGATCTCTCTGACACGGCTGCTCTGGCCCGCCGCATCTGGGAGCCAGTAGCGGCAGCCGCTGGGGGGAGATAAGGCAAGGCTAGCCGCTCGCCTGTAACACACGTTTTGCCCCCCTCTGCCCTCTTCTCCTCTCCTTCCCTGCTCCTCTCTCCACCCACCCTCCCTCCCGTCATCCCCCTGACCTTATCTCAGGGGAGAAGGCACCACTGGGTCGCTACTGTGATAGCACCTGCCAGAACCAGAGCTGGCCTCTGGTGATTATGGGGGAATCATTATCTCTCTCTCCCCAAAAACTCATTTTATACCTGCCAACATCTGAGGGGAGGGGGGCAAAGGAGCAAAGGCTTCTATAACAGGTAACACAGAGAAAATTGTGTGTGTCAGTGTGTGTGTGTGTGTGTGTGTGTGTGTGTGTGTGTGTGTGTGTGTGTGTGTGTGTGTGTGTGTGTGTGTGTGTATCAGGAGAGTCGGATGTTGTACCAAAAAAAAACATGCAGCAAAATATTTTGCCTTTTTGCAAGATGTTTTGAAGTTGATATAAATGTGATGAGATAAAGATTATATTTAATAATGGCTGTTTTCAGTATGTTACTGCATTATGTTAATGCATATAAGCATAGTTTATGGAGATAGATCTTAAGTCAGTTTAGCAAGGGTTAACTAACTCTTATAAGATTGGATGTTCCTGGAGAAAATATGTTCTTTAGCTTGATGCCATGTTGGATATAAGTGAAAGATTTGTTCTTAATTTTTAGTTTATATGGGGCTTAACATGCATTCAGTCACTTCATTTCCAAATCTCTTGCTTTGACTCTACCGTTCTTTACTCCCTTTAATTAGTTTAACTATGCCTCTTTGCTCTTTCCGTTCTCTATATTTTTTTACTCTTCCCAGAATTATCTAATCAGTTTAGAACTGGAGAGATAAATCCCTCTTGGTTAAAATCATCCAATCAAGTGAATTCAAAACTTTCCGTCTTTTATGCAAGTCTGCCCTTTTCTGACTTAAACTATTATCTGCTCCTTTATCATATTGTATGTTTTCAAACCTGTGATGAACATCCACTTTCTACCTGCCCTACCACCTGTTATGTTCTCATGGCAGTTCATATCCTGGAATAAGTGTATGGTATCATTTTCATTTTGCTGGCCACTATATAGATCTCTTTCACTTTTAAAAAATGTGCCAAAATTTAATCAGTTGCTCTGGGAATTCAAATTTTGAATCTTAAATAAAAATGTTACTGAGATTTATATTTGCTTTACCGAATGTCTTGTGCTTAAATACTTGTAAATGTGGGAAATTAAGCAGCTGAAAATAAGAAAGCACCTAAATTTCATTTCATGTGCATACACTGAGGGATTATAGAGAAATCAGTTATCTCTGTCTCTCTCTCTGTCTCTCTCTCTGTCTCTCTCACCCCACGCCCAAAGAACAGAAAGCAACATGAGTTTCTTTCACTTCCTCTCTGCTGATGACCATATGTGTGATGGTTTCAGCCAGGCACTTGGCACATCTGTGTGCTCACATCCCCTCTCACTTCTCTCATCAGCACACTACTTGATCCAACAAAAATAAGTGGTGATGTGTGAGCGTGTGTGTGTGTGTGTGTGTGTGTGTGTGTGTGTGTGTGTGTGAGGCAGTGAAGAGTATTGCTGTAATACGCACAGGCCACTCCATCTGGGTTAGGGGTTAATGAGTCCTGGGGGGTCAGAGGTCAAGGAGGTGATGGCTACAGTGTTGCTAGAGTTTCACATGAGAGCCCCTTTCAGCTGTCTGAGCTTTGTGAAGTTTACTATGGCATCTTTGATTCTAAATGTGATTTCAGCATATGTCTTTTCCCAGAACAGGCGTAGTCCTGTGTGCTTTTTCTCTATTTAGAGGTGACTACTTAGTGTCATCCGCATGGTGTAGTGTGGTGATGATGTGATCTTTGATGAAATTGACCACAAACATTTTTATTGGCCTATAATTCTTGTCTATTACATCAGAATGAATATCAGGGGGAAGCCCTCTGTTTATCTGGAATGCATAAATGAGAAGTAAACATGGAGTTGGTGAGAACAGCTGTCCACGTCAAACTCTTCGGAACAAAACAAAATTGTGGTATGAATTTCTGGTGAAATGTCAATAGGGATTATGTTTGAATGAAAGAGTCATTTTCTATTTTGTTTGACAACATTTTTTGATATTCTTAGTTACCTTAATATTTAAATTTTTCCTTAACTCAAAGGTTTTCCCCCATTTTTTACAATAAGAACTTACATGCATTATAATTCATATAAACATAATGGTCAGTAATAGGGTACAACCAAGGGAGAATGTTGTTTGAAATTTCTTGCTTGTACAGTATATACCAAAAGGTTAAGTCTCATAGCTCTCATCATTTATGTCATATAAAATGTTAGGATGCTAGCTTCAACAAGCTATCTGTCCAGTACAGAATGTCTGAGAGCCAAAGCAGCTGGTGAAGAAAGTCAATCATCTAACAAGCCAGATATGTTTCTGTGTATTGGTGCACCAGACCAGGGCTAAAAGTCCAGAGAGTACTGAATTTACATTTGTCAGGTGGCCACAAACATGACTTGGGGATTTTTTTTGGTCAGGATTAGGGGAATCACAGGAAATATTCAAAATGATCACAGTTTATTCAAAAGTATCACCTATCAAAATACCGGTATATTATTTCTAGGTTAATATAAGATATATTTTACATGAGGACTAAACATGGAGAAAAGATGTGAATTATGAAATTACATTTAGAATATTTGGTTCAGGTAGCCTAACAATATGCTTTTGCATAAAGTTTAGCTTTAGTGAACTTGATGACATGCAATTACCATGTATTATGGTCATGACTTATTATTTAACCATGATGGCTGTACTTCCTTTTGCACTTTACTGTGAACTATCATGCACACAAAAATGCCAAAAAAGGATCAATGTTAACAAAGAGCAAGGTGCACAGAAGCAAAGGATCCTGGGAAGAAGAGAAGAGAGTAAGGAGTGGCTGCTGGCCGCAGACACAGCTGGTTCCTGACAGAGGAAGCCCAGACGGTGGCCCAGGTCCTGCTGCCTGCTGCTGTCTGCTGCTATCATCGCAGCCAGCACTGCTGCCTGGCCTCCCCAGGGGCTGCAGCCCTGCAACACGCAGAAACACACACAAACTGTAACATACTAACACACACTTCTCTTTTGAGCTGCAGTGGCAGGCAGGGCAGGAGGAGGGTTCAGATGAGAGCACAGCCCCTCAGCAAGAGCCACGAGACAAGCTGACCTGCCACTGACATACACACACTCTCATACACACTCTCTGCTGGAAGGGAACGAAGAGAGATCGAGTGAAGCAAATGAATGGAAAAGAAGAAAGAAAGGTAGAAGTACACACAAGATGTGTCAAATGCATCTAAAAGAGACTTCTTGCTGAAGACTGTTCGTTGTGGGTATTACCAACTATCAGACATTTTTATAATGCAACGTTGTACACAGAAATAAGGCAAAGAAAAAATACCAGAGGAATCCCGGAATAATGCAAGCAGGATCAAAATCTTTGATGAGGAGGTAAAAGGAAGAAGAGAAAGCAACCTCTTTTTCTCTGTTTGGAGATTTAACTACAGCTGTTACTGTCCTTGGCAGTTCTGTGGGTCATACAATGATCTACTGGAGCCTCAAAGGCAAACTGGCTGAATAGCATGAAGAAAAACATGCAATGCCTCAAGGACAAATGGGAGAGAAGGTCAAGCAGGAAAGCCTTCAAGCATTTTGGAGCTCTTAGAGATTTTTAACATTGTATGGCTTGTATTTGTCTTTGCTACACTGCTTGGACCTATAAACCTGCTAGTGTGTCACCTAACTTTGATAGATCTCAAGTCAATAGAAGCTGGAAAGTTGACGACTTAGCAGTGGTGATTTGAAGGTCCGAACATGTCCGTTGAGGTCCACTTGGAGCGCCAGAAGAAGGCCGACCGAAGAGCTGGGACGTCTGGTCCAGTGTTCGCTCCACGTGTCCCCACGGTCACACTGATCAGCCACAGAGAGCTTAGGGTTAAACACACTGCCCACAGGCTCCAGCCTGGAAGCCTTGATCCAAACCTGGCAACCAGCAGCCACTACAGATGTAGTGAAGGTAGGAGCTTGTCACTTTAAAGGACCTATTTTATGAAATCTTTTGGCAGTGTGTTACAGTGATGAGTGATGGAGGGTCCCACAGCTGTCAGGTCTGCTCATTAAGTTGGAGTGATTGACGGATAATCAGTTTGTGTTGACTTAGCGCTGCATGCTATAAGGGCAATGTGAGGTTTCTTCATCTTGCTAGTAGACCTGTTATTTGATGACTGAAGCTGGGGGTTTCAAGGTTAGAATGACATCAAACATTACCAGCTAAATTACTTTCATGGGTAAAATAATCTAAGGTTTGTTTCCCACTGCATTTAGCCATTTACTGCATTTTTGGCCTTTTATGTAAAACAAACCCATTTTAGACATCAAATTGAATATGCATCAGGTTTAAAGTGCAATTTAACTCAACAGCATCCCCCTTATTGTCATGGTCTTCATATGCGCTGTCAAGCAAAAATCATTATTGTTAACAAGCCCAGTGGAGCACATTTGTCCTGTGGCACTGGAAAGGAAAGGGAAAGAGGTTTTTAGAGCAGTGGGTGGGTGGGGGGTCTTCCTCTGGGCTTCCCCATACAGCTGCAGGGAACAGAACCAGATTCTGGAGTTTCATTGCTCAGCTTCAGTGGCTTCATAGTACACATGCAGGTCGTGAGGGTGCATTACAGTGAATGACAGAGGGAAAACTTTAAAGGGAGCATTTTGCACACAGATGAGGGATACTTGAAAGGCATCCAGGAAAAAGAGGGGTGAGAGAAGAAAAAATGTAATTGATTCTTAAAAGTGCTGAAAACACTGAAGTAGTGCCTTTAGGTAAAAATGAAAACCTTCACTTAAATCAGCAAAGGGTTTGAGGAGAGAGAGATGCATTAAGAATCAGACATTAAAGGCCCCAATTTTATAGACTCTAAATATGTAGAAACTGTAAGCCAGAGCAAGGACTAATACCCAACGGAGTGAATTACCTGCAGCGCCTGCCGTCTCTTGGCAGTAATGAGCTTTGTGAACGTCGCAGTGATAAGGCCTCTATAATTAGGCTTAGTCATAAGCATCCCCCCTGTAATTCTGTGATAAAAACCCAGTAGAACTCTGGTGTCGGTGCTCCAGCCTATTCGTCTCACACACACACACACGCACGCGCACACACACACACACACACACATACATACACTGAGGATATCAAAATGTGTCATTGTGAACTGTAAACACAGCTCTTTGTCTCAAGTAGTTTACCTGATGTAACTGTAGGGTATGTATGTGTGTGGGGGGTGTAGTCCGGCGATATGTTCACGCTGTATGGAGAAGCAGTAGTAATGTGTGTGTTTGTGCGTGTGTCTGTGAGTGTGTGTTAGGTGTTGTGAGCTGCAGCATAGGCTTCCTGTGAGGGAGCAGATGTCGCAGAGCTCAGGCACAGCTGCGACGGGCGATAACTGCGGTGGCAAGAATATGTCGGTACGCTGGCTCTTCTCCCTGGGTCTTATCAGGCGCACACAGCATACAGACACACACACACACACACACACACACACACACTCACACACTCTCATATAGACACTCTACAATAAGGAACTGCCACCCAGCACTAGCACACCCTCACAGCAGGCCAAGATAGAGGGAGGAAGGCAATGAGAGAGATGGAGAGAGGAAGAAAAGGAGCAAGGACTAAATCAAGGGACTTTGAGGGAAAAGGTGCAGTGAATCCCTAACAAAGCCTTGGCTCATGTCTGCTGTATCATAGACTTCATAATTTCGTGCCAATCCTAATCCTCTATAGCTATGAATAGGCTATTCTTTTTGGTTTTCTCTCACAAAAAGAGATCACTTTTATATAACTACATAAGCAGCCTACGTAACTTTGTTGCTTTTCCTAGCTATATTTTAGGTTTCCAAAGACCTGTTCGCACAATTAGTCACGTAGAATGGATCAAAATAATTTTGATATCACTATCTTTTTCATCTTTTAACTCAAAATTTCAAGCTCATTACAACCTCACAAAATTCTAAAATCTTAAGTATTTGTGAATTTGGGGTTGGACAACCAACCATATACTGCTTTATGATTCTGTGGAAGATTTCACCTTTTTTCTCCTCGCTCTACATAAGTGGTTTGTCTTGCAGTTTTGCCATGTCACCATATCTCAGCAGTTAAGCTGATGAACAATGTTATCACAACCAGAATGACTGACCAGAAATTAGACACATTTTGTAATAAAACTGTAAACTGTAGCTATGAAAATCTAACGCCCACTTTTTTTTACCAATCTATTGCTTAAGGATTACCATAGCTGTGACACAGATACGAGCAAATAAATGTGGCAGAGATTAATGAATGTGGGGAAAAGATGGATGTTAATGATGATACAAGAAGAGGAAGAACAATTGAGTAAATAAGGAATGGAAAAATAAAGTGAGGGGCATGTGTGGGACGAGAGGCAAGGTGGCGATGGGAGGTGTGTGAGAGAGAGAGCGAGAGTGAGGGAGAGAGAAGTTACCCTCTCTATTTCCTCAGCACCAGCTTTGTGGTTTCTATGAGGAACAGATGTTCACAACTTGATACAGTGCCTCATCCCCCTCTACTCACTATCTCCAGTGCCAGCACCACCAACTGTCTGCACACACACACAGACAAACACACAAACACACTCACGCACACACACACACACAAGTGCGCACACACACATATTGTCTCTTGGGAAAGACAGTCATACATAGCAGTGACTTTCATGTGAATGTATGGGGGCGTGTTCACCTGCATACTGAGGACTTTTTACTGTCCATTTCCCTCTGCGTTTAGGCTACATATCCTGTTCTTGAGTCAACACTTGATATAATCAGGTGTCACTTCCTCCTTTGTCAGTTTGCACTTCTGTTGGTCAACTGTGACCCTACACTCTTACTCAGCCTGGCCAGATAAAACACACAGATGCATACGCTAACTGTACCTATATGCGTGTACAAATATATACATAACCAATCTAAATCAGGCTAAACAATCTTGTCCAAGTGTCTCATCTAGGTAGTAGGGCTGTGAATGCCTATGTATAATAATGGAAGTAAAAATTCAATTCAACCTCATTTTCAATGGTTTTTTTTTCTCTGAAAAAATATGAGATGGGCCATGTTTTGCTTGGCTCAGAAACACTGAAGAAAAGTGAAATATGGTTTAGGTATTGCAATGGCCCATTCTTTGGTATTTGCAAAAAAACAAAAAAACAAATTGGATGAAAAATCTGAAAAGTAGAAAAATAGTCGGACGGAATAGCTACAGTAATGCATTGTGTAGTGCTCTTATTTGAGTTGTTCAGTAGCAGAAACAACCCTGGAAGTCAAGTACTTCAAAGGACATTAATTTTCCCAAAGAGTGTGGATTGAATTTTGAATTCCCATCATGTCTGGATGAATCAAACAACCAACACTTTGCTGCTCGATTGCAAACAAAATGTCAGGGGGTCTATGGGCACAATTTGTAAAAGCAGCATTCCAGAGTACGTGCTTGATTGGGTGGGTCAATGATCCGTTACACCACGCTGTATTACAGAAAGACTCTGTCTCATCCTCTTTCATAACATTATAGAGCAGCTTCAGCATAAGCACACATTAAAGATGTTAACATACAAAGTGAGATAAGGTCCTCTTCACCACACTCGTGTTTAAATTACAAAACACATATTCAGGGAGGATGCATGTAACGCAAAGAGAAATTTCTCAATACAAACCCAATCGTTTCTATCACCATAAAACAACTATTTTCCTGTTCTGATCGAGTGACATATACTCTCTCCTGTTTCACAACCTACACTGGTGACTTTAATGACGACTAACATAAGAGTGTGATCTGTTGAAGGTGCATGAGAGAGGAGAGGATAGGAGAAGAGAGAATAGCGCGGGAACACAATGGGTCTAGCGTTCCTTTCAGTCAGCTCGGGCCTTATCTCATTTCAACACACTAGTCTGTGACTGCCACTATAGTAAAGGATTTACAATGTGTGAGTGGAGGAAATGCTGCAAACTTCTCTCTTTTTCTCTTGCTTTTACTCTGACACACACACACACCACACACACACACACACACACACACACACACACACACACACACACACACACACACACACACACAAACACACAGACACACACAGATATAGTAATTTCCATACCAGCACAATGACCAAACCTGGTTCTTGTATCTCAGTGAGTGCTCAACCATCCAGGAGATGCTGTCAACATAACAGAGTCCAGAGTAAGGTAGTGAGGGTGGGGGGTGTTTGTGAGGTGACAGCGAGATAGAGGACTGAAAGACATAGGAGACAAAGCTGTTTTCGTCATAAATGCCATCAAAGGGACTTCCACTCGCAGTATTATGGCACAGAGAGTTCATCGAGGCGAGTCCCCACCTTGTGTGCGTTTCATTGTGCAGTTTATCAGGGCAGCCACATGGAGTGTCGGAGCTAACCCAGTGACCGCTCAACAAAAGGCCAAATTAAGAGGAGTGAGAGGCTGTCGTACAGGGAGGCTGACAGGTTGACTGACGCCGTTCCCAAGAAGAATAGCATCCTGTCAGTCTTGGAGCTGTCACCTTGACAGGAATCCTTTCTTTGGATGCAACCCCCATCGCCAACCTTTCTGTCACTCAAGGCCACACACACACACACACACACACACACACACACACACACACACACACACACACACACACACACACACACACACACACACAACACACACACACACACACATACGCTCACACACACCTCTTCCCTGTTCAGTATTCTGCACAGGAAACAAATAAGCTACTACAGTACTAAGAAGACAGACACACACACACACACACACACACACACACACACACACGCACAATGTTGCATGTGTATAGAGTTACCTAGGGCCATAACTCTGAAAAAGAGAAATATAGAGAGTGAGTTTCATAAACACTCCATCCATCTCCTTGACAACCGTACTTCCACCATGGTACACTGCCTGTGACAGACCCGGCTTGTAATGGCCTGTGCATCT